GAGAGATGCCTTGATGTGATGGAAGTGCCTTCTGCTATTTGTAAAAATGCAGCTCATTCTAAGTCCTCTTCTGAACAACATCAATTCAAAACATCAACTTGATCCACAAGCACACTGTGACCTAGAGAAGGGATCCTCAAGGGTACTGCTATCACATGATCAGTTGCTCAACATGTCTTAAAAAACTGCAGTATGTATTTTATGCTCTTTCGAAATCTATTATCCTTTACTAAGGGATTTAACACTGGAAATTACCAAGAACAATATGTAATTCCTGACTATATCCTGTGAACTGCTTTATGAATATGAGACTGATTTGTCAAAAAAAAAAACGTTTTGTAAATGTCTGAATCCACTTAATCCTGATAAAATGATTGAAATCCTGTGTATTGCCACACTTGGAAATGATTTATTAGTCATTTTTTTATCATGTATGAGTGGAAAGTTGCACATTACTCTACATTTTATTACATATACTTTCTTTTGTTTACTCTTTAGAAACATGGGTTGTTTACTAATTGTAATGAACTTTGCTCGTCATCAATAACCTATGAATATAATGGTGATTTCTAGAAACTATATTCCCCAAATTTTGCAAGTAAGAATATTGGCAGGGGGAAATGTGCTACAGGGTGAATTGCTGGCTTAATGCATCTGTATGTTAAGCCTGAGGAAATTACATTGATTTCAGCACCATCCAGTAGAGCATTATAGAGATGGGTGTTACTGACTAATGAGTTTTGTGATCAATATGACAAAAGGTCAAGAGTTAAGCCCACTTTGAAGTGTTTGGGACAGTTCCCAAATTGACAGAAGATTTTTTTATTCAATCTACTGTACAACCATCCATTTTCCAAACTGCATTATTCAGTATAGGGTAGAGAGGCAGCCGGTGCCTAGCCCAGCAAGCAACAGGTGTGAAACAAGATACCAATCCATCACAGGGCACACGTAGACAAAAAACACACACAATCACACCAGGGCCACATTTCCCAGAGGTCTGTATGTGGACTGTGGGAAGAAACTGGAGCACCTGGAGGAAACCCACATGGACAAGGAAAGAATATACTCCACACAGATAGCACCCCAGAAATTGAACCCATGGTAATCACTGCTTAACCATGCTACCTCATCAATGCACAATAAAAATCATTATTCTTTTTTGGCTTTTTCCTTATCTACAAGATACTTAGTTGCAATCTAAGTTGCAGGTCTATTAAAATGTGAATTGATTCATCAAAAAGTGTTCCCTACAGTCCCCCAAATGTCCGAAATTGTATATTATTATTGATGTTTATGCATCGGTACATACAATCAATTCAGTAACCAGGGAAACAATCATTGGAACGGAGAGGAGCTGCTGACGACAATAAAACTTTAATTTGATCCCTGCCGCTTCACCCACACCACAGGGAAGGCAAACATTTCTAAACTCGGCAAAAGAGTCTCACTTTGTTCCCAGAAAACTGAGAGTTCTCCCTTAAATGCACAAACTCAACGCATTTTTATTCCGAGCTAAAAAACGTCTCATCCTGTGGATCTCCTATATGAAATTGATTATTCCTCCAATATTTCACTGAAGTAATGGTGCAGATGAATTAGTAGCATTGTCTGCAAAGGATGCAGCATTTTCACGATCTGATCAAATCACCCCTCCAACATTTTTTAAATTACAAATTGAATTATTTATGAAGCAATGTGTTGACTCAAACTAATCAGTTTGACTCACTACATACACTAGACACTTGCGTACTGACATCTGCTAGTAGGTACGGGTCCAAAAACATTTTTATTAGTATTTATTTTTCTATTTAAAGGAACCGGTATACCATCATATTTGCTCACAAAGCAGCCAAAATTACCGTCACCTTGGTGATGGTAAATTGGCAGGAGCAAAACATCCAACCAAACTATACGGACAATGATCAGAGGGATTTTCAGACATAAAAAAACAGAAGTCAATCAAGCATTAAGGACCTTAAAATGCATTCTTTTTCATTAGTTAGGATGTCTCTCACACTGCAACAGCCTGAGTCAAAACCAACCCTCACAACCCTCACCCCAACACCCTTTCTAAATGTCTCCATTTTACAGGATGAACTCTAAACTGGCACCTGTCTCCTAGACCCAACAACCATTTTATGCAGCTGACCAGCTCACCTACGCAGCCCTATTGACCCTTATCCACAGCTTCCATCCATGTCAAGCACCTTTTGCAGCAACAAGAAGCAATATCCAGCAGGAAATACAGTACAGCCACACAGACGTGAGCCCTCTGGCCTCTTCCTCATCACACATTTTGTTTGTCCAGCAATTTCACTTATTTGCAATGCTTTCAGAAAGGACCCTGCCATTTACACAGGCATAACAGGAAGAAGAATAGCCTGTTTCTGGGAACATGTTGCTACAGTATAACGATGATTCAATCGCAAGGCAACAGCTCTCCTTTTTACCTCTCCTCTACCTTATCATGCTTGGTCATGTTCTTTCTGAGTGCATCCTTGTTCAGGGCTTCTAATACTCTTATTCCAGAAAGACATCAGAAGCCAAGATTTTCTTCAAAGTAGGATCACACCTTGCAGCAGTTCTCAACTGGTTGACTCATTTCTTTTTAAAAGCTCTCCATTCATTTGCAGAATTGTTCACACTTTTCACTCTCACCCCAGATTTCGATTCATTCTCCCCAGCTGCGCTCATTCTCACCTGCTCATTCTTTTGTTCTTCTGTCCTTCAGATCCCTCCAACACTTTCTCTCGTTCCCTCAGTCAAACAGACAAAACTGCTTTTTTACTTTCTTTGTACTTTTCAGCATGAAATTAACCTCCACTTGTTGCTTTGCAGCCCATGTGGTTAAATGGTTGCTTGAACATTTTTTAAAGTGCTTTTTTAAAAATTGATTTAAAGTGAAGAGCTGAAATTGTCAGGGAAACCAACTAGCTTAAAATTAAAATATTCCTTGTAAAATCAGTGGTATTATAAAAAAACACTGGTATCTTGTAGTCTTCACATGGAAGATTTTAATTTGAAATTCTATTAAGGTCACAAAAAGAGCAGAACTGATCTAAGACACTGGTTTCACAGCCTCCCAAAAATTTAGGATGTTTATTTAAAAAGGAAACGCGAGTCTCATAAAATATCAGACGCACAGCAAATCAGGGGTTAAAATAAAAAAAAACAATATAAAAGCATCTGCATGTTCTGTCACATTTTTGTTACATATATTTCACTTTGCGAAGACAGACCTGCCAATCTTGTGTGACACCATTTTGATTTCTTTGACCAGAATGAAAAACATACCAACTGCTTCTTGGAAAAAATGGTATTAAATGTCATGTAATGACACTGGCAAGGCAGTGAAAAGCAGTGGGAGGCTTTGAAACCCTAATTCCAGTGTTTTGGGACGATAACAGTGAGATATCTCCAATCACATATCAGTTTATATTTCACTAAAGCTTTAGACATGCAGTAACTGGCATGAAGACAGCAGGCTAGAGTTCATCCTAAATGAAAGGAACAGCTGCACAAATGAAAAAAACAGGACACCCACACACAAGGCACAACTACAGCAGCTTCTTGCCACTCTCTCCTCAGCCATTCCTTGTGCAGCAGCATATTGCTCTACATTACAGCAATTCAGTCTGCTCACAACAGGCAAAAACAAAAGCAGAGCTCTCCTAACAAACTGTCGACCAGGATCATTATGCAGGTTTTGCATAGTTATTTTAAATAATCATAAATATTTGTTAAGTAATGATAGGCACACTGTGGCAGCATTATTTGCAACTCAGTGGTAAGGTGAACCTCAAGGTCGAAAAGATTAATATTAGGTAAACAGGACAAAATTGTATTACCTTCCTCAAGTTAAGATGTATAAATCAACCATAAAAAGTACAGATTCCAAAATGTGTGTATAGAAACGTAAAAACACAAATGAAGATTGCACATCTTAGAAATGTTTGTTTTACAATATACATATAATGAGCTTCTTGTGAAAACTAAGGGAAATTGAAATCCAAAGTTGACTGAGATCAGCCTCCAGAGCTGTCTCGGTATATTGTAAATGATGTCAAAAGAAAAAATCTAAAATTTAAAAGCATAAAATGTAACTGTGTGTTTTATCTGCAATAAAGAAAGATCCATCAAAATTTAAAATAAATAGACAAATGAGATTTAGGTGGGCTACACAGAAGAAAACAGGATTTATATTTCATTATTTACCATGTTGTTAACCTATTCTCCTCACAAACTCATCATAAATGCATACAAAATTCTTAGAAACCACACAGATTTTTCATTTGAAAAGGATGCCGTCAAACCTTACTTGCCTTTATTTTTACAACTGACATTCAACTCGATATATCAATGGCCAGCAGCCATATCACCCTGCAACTCACAACTGGCAACCCACTCAAGCTCTCCTGGGAAAAACTAAGGTTGCTGCTGGAAGAGGTGTTAGTGGGGCCAACAGGGGGCGTTCACCCTGCGGTCTGTGTGGGTCCTAATGCCTCAGTATAGTGACGGGGACACTATATTGTAAAAAGGCACTGTCCTTCGGATGAGACGTAAAACCGAGGTCCTGACTCTCTGTGGTCATTAAAAATCCCAGGGCGTTTCTAAAAAAAAAGTAGGCGTGTAACTCTGGTGTCCTGGCCAAATTTTCAATTGGCTCTTACCAATCATGGCCTCCTAATAATCTCCACCTATGAATTGGCTTCATTACTCTGTTCTCCTCACCACTAATAACTGATGTGTTGGTAGCGTTCTGGCACACTATGGCTGCCGTCACATCATCCAGGTGGGGCAGCACATTGGTGGTGGTGGAGGGGAGTCCCCATTACCTGTAAAGAGCTTTGAGTGGAGTGTCCAGAAAAGTGCTATATAAGTGTAATGAATGGTTATTATTATATAAAAGCACTGCCTTTACAATCTAATCAGAGAGGTAGGCAAATCCCCCCCAAATCGAATTAATAAATTGCAGGCAAACTGCGAAAAAGCCTTACCTCGGGGGAGCTGGAGGGTGACATTGTTGCAGAAGTCTGTGAAGCAGCATTGCCTCTTTGACACATTCCTGGAGCTGTAGCAGAACACCTGGCCTTTCATCTCAGAAGGAGAGACACAGGACTTGGCCACCTCTTCCTTGCCATTAATGAGCATCACAGAGTTCCAGCAGGCCCCCTCTGTTTCACAAGTGTTGTTGGCACAGACATGGCAAACACACTTGAGGGCTGGAACACACACACAAAATATATTTTTCCTTAATCAATTCAATTAAATATTGTGTTTCAAATAGCTGTTTTTCCACACAAAGGAGAACTCCGAATCCCTTGACTGCAAACTCTTTCCATTCTTTATTAGGCTCCACTCAGTCCCATTAGTCATAATGGTTCTCTACAAAATCAGTTCACTGTGCTGTCATTTTCTTATGGCTTTGATTGAGACGCTGCTTAGAGATGGGGTCTACTAGTGTGTGAGGAATCTATTGGTTCCTGACAAAATAAGATTAAAAAATAAACTCAGCCAAAACCGTATTTGTTTAAAACTGGTCCAGTGTTACAAGGAATTCATAGCTAATTTAGATTAATGAGCCAGTTTTAAGGCATAAAAAGTGGTGAATAAATGAAGGATGTTTAAGTCCAGAAAACAGGGAAGTGAGGTAGTTATAATGATCTGCATTTCTAAATTGCATTAGTCACAGCTAAACATGTTTTAGGGAGTAATAGTTGATTGGCAAAGAAACATACTGAATTATTGATCGCTGAACATCATCATCAAGAGACACCAAGGAAACAAAGACTGAAAATCTCTATTATTATGCATGTTGTACACCATTTTCAGTGCAAAAGCACTACAAAATTAAATAAAAAAAGAAAATAGTCTGTATCCTTTTAGCCTTCACCAAAAAATTGAATGTATATTTATTTTGGGGAGCCTTTTACGCTTTTTATACAAATGGTTCCATTCATCACTTTCCCGACACTATATACTTTTGATGACAATCAAGATTAATTTTAAATTCTTCAACACATTTCTGCCATCATTTTATGAAGCATGAGGCTTTCCACATTGTGTTGTTTACATAAACCTACCTTAACAAAACAATGGAGAGATCACCCACCTTAAATAACAATAATACTCCTTTTAGTCTCAATAAAACAATAAAAAAAAATATTTTAACCAGAACTGTATGTTGAGAACAAATTCTCATTTGCAACAGCAACCTTGCCAAGAGGCTTAGACTAGTTTCACACAGAAAACAAATCAGTGAAAAAGAACAATCAATAAAATATAAAGGACCCCACAAGACATAATGTAACAGAATGCTACAGTGTTAACAAGTGCAAGTGTCAGGCAGAAAAGATTTAATCAGCATCAATAATGATTTTGTTTTTCTAAGGACATTTTGAAAACGTCATCACCATTGAGGCATTTGGACAAGAGGACTATGTAAAACAACATTTGTCATGATATACAAAACCATGTCTAGACCTAACTTCAATTTGTAATTTATTATTTACTGTTTAAACAATAACAACAAATTTTATATTTTAATAGCATAAAGTTTTATCAGGGTTTAGCAGAACTCGTAGTTCACAGAAAGTCTGAAGAACTTTTACCGATCCTAAGCTGCAGATCTGTCATTACTGACAGATACAAGGTGGCAGATTCAGACAAGATGGCAGCTCCAGTCTGTACTACATTGCCCAGAATTCTGAGGAATGACCTGTCACCCTCAGTCACCTGAACAACTGGTGCAAGGTGACACTTAACAAAACAGGACAGAGGCTTCCACTGTTGCCTATACACTGTCCAGAAGGAGAGCAGATCCTCTGCTATGTACCACATGTAGAAGGAAGTGACCTGGAAGAATTTCAGAGAGAAGACATTGTGTTTGGAGAGTTTCTGGTCTCTTGGTCTTGCAGCTGAGAGATAAGCAGTTTAGCTGCCTTACTATTCATGTAGAAGGAACTTTGAAGAAGTCCAGGTAGAGCTCAAAGAGGAGGTTAGGCTTTTATTTTTTCATGTTTTGGTTTATTTATTTGCATACTGTAATTATTTGTAAAATTTAATTTTATATTATGGCCGTGTTTGTATGTTGGTTTTCCCTGACATCTGCTTATTTTAAAGTTACAGCTATGTTACAGATGATAAGGTGAGTCTATTGCTGGAGCAGAATTTATCATACAGATGGCAAAAATAGAGACCAGGATAGAAAATTGTGCAGTTCAATGGTCAGATTTCAGACTGCTTATGATTTTGTTAACACTTCTAAAACAAAGGGAAGGAACTGACTTCAAACATATACTATGAAACTTAGAAAAAGTAAGTGACCCATAGTGTCAAAAGCACTAGATACTGCACATCAATAAAGATAACTCCACAAGTGTGAAGTTTGTGGAGTGACTTTATAATATCACTGAGAACTTTTAAGACTGCTGTAACACATTTTGAGCCCAGAAAACTAGCCTGCAAATCAGAGAAAATCGAATTACTACTGTATGTAAAGAAGAGCTTAAAGAAGAGCTTAAAATAAATGTTTTATATGTTCGTTAGAGATAAAATTGATAGAGATCTATAACAGTCAGGGTCTGATTTGTCAACTACATTGACAAGGGTGCTTCCGGTCTCCATTTCTGTTTGTATAAGAGCAGCAAGTTTTATCAAAAATGGTTCAATACCATTGTGATTGGCAGACATCTTACTGTCAGTTTAATAAAACCCATTGGCTACATCATCAAATGTAAGTGACTCTGGAATTTGACTGAAAACTCAAATGAATCAACAGTATTGTTTGAAAATGTTGGCTTCTGAAATACAACTATTATTAATAAACTGTTCCTTGAATGAATTAGTCATTTGCTTTTTGTCTGTCACATTATTTTTGTTTGTAAATGAAACTGGTAAATGAAAACGTAATGATTTGGTCCCTATAATTTTAATGTAAAACCAAAATGTCAAATGATTGCCTAAGAGGGTAGAGAAAGAGAAAGATTGATGGTTGTAGTAGCTCATTAGAGCTTCTAATGGTTTGTGTGCATTTATTTCTAATTGGTCTGAAGGAGAGCCTATCAGTGGGATTCCCAAAGGCACTATCAGTTCACAAAGCTAGAATTTTTTGCTCAATTAAAGTTGTTAGCTTCGGTTAAAACCACAAACTAATTCTATTTTCAACTCTAAACAAAATATTGTTGAGAATATTGCTAAAACATTTAATAAAAAATAAGATTCAAGTATCCTTGGCTGACTGTATGTGACGATTTCTGCTTTAGTTGATTAAAACCAGCTAGTGCAAAAAAGCCTGTTCATTGACATTAATAAGATGTCTTTTAGATAAAATCAGAAGCCAGGGTTTTCAAGATGCTGCTCACACATGTTATGAAAAAATTATCTCTGAGATCTGTAGAAAATATATTCGGCTGGTAACTGGCAGGAGAGTTTGAGCATGATGTCAAGCAAGGTTGACTTATTTGGTAATTTAAGAGTCAATTCTTTTAGGCCTGGTTATAATCTGAAACACGTTTAAAGACTCAAATGTGATTTTGACAATGACAACAGGGTTTTAATATATGCCAGTTATTTCTCTCAATAAAATAATCTCAGAAAAACAAGTAAGGAGCAATACATTCAGTCCTGGTTATGATGGCTGCTGAAGCAGAGGGTCTTTAGCATCGCATGACTTTCTGTTGCTTATTTGTAAACAGTTACTTAAATATGTATGTGATGTACCTTTGCCTGGCTCCCTTCAAATATCTACCCACTTAGATACACTCCCTTACCTGAAACAGATTAGGTATGCTTCATTATCAGAAATATTGCTGAAACAAATACTGATACTTGCAAATACAGATGAAGCTGCCATGAATGCTTTTAATGTTCTCTAAAGAACAAAAATGATGTATAGCCCTGGTCATAGCTCTGAAAAAATAGTGGTATTCTGTGCAATGCAAAGGAAGATCTCAATGAGTAATACAATTTATCAGTTTAAAGAACATAATATTGTTTTGTTGTTCTGCCTGAGAATTACGCTCCTCCAAAAGACGATTCAGTTAAAACAGTGGCCATTCCTGCACAAACCCAAGCTTTTGCTCTAAAAAAACATATTAATATGAACATCTAGTTCAGACTCTCAGGTAATTGATGATAATGGGAGACAAAAGTGTTTTGAATACAACCCCATCTCCATTCCAGAAATTCACGTCTAATATTTGTCAGATGTCTGGCAGTGGTTGGAGGTGAAAATACATTTTGCTAGCAAGAAACTGTTCCAAAGGATATAAGGAGAATGACATTTGCCTCATATCATTGAGAATGGTTACCTTCAGCAGGTTACACTGATGTTCTGAACTCAACCTTCATATTATCTGAACCAGTCATGTGACTTATCATGGTATTACAGCCCAAGTCAGGAATAAAAGCATCACTATCCTGTCCCTTGCATCGTTTCTATATTTGGAACGGACTTACAGGCTCTCAGAGCAAACAAGGCCTTCAGACATTATCTCTAAGCAGAGCTAGAGCTATATTTACATGCCTGTACATTTTACGTTTACTATGGGAGGTAGAGGTACTCACTTGCATATTTCTACACAATTGGGGATTGCATAGGTTTTCAGCTTTCCAAGTGAGGTGAAATTAAAGACAAGTCCCGCTTGCTCTGCTACTGGGACCCCATCAAGTGCTGATGCATTCCTTGTGTAACCCCTGGTGACGACACTGTCTTTATGTCAGAGAAAAGGTAACATTTAAAGCCAGGCTGTGTGATTATAGAAATGAATTCCTCCACCTGTCTTGTGTTTTATCTGGGTTGTCATGAGACCTGAATTGTTTTTGTTTTTTTGAGCAGATAACATTATTTTTCTCCTTGGGTTACAAAGTCCAGTTAAACGCGAAGACAGCACCTCATAGCTAACATTTGTGAAAAGTCTAAAGAAAAGATAAAGGGTTTAGGTCGGACATTGTGCATCTACTGTAACTTGGGGAAAAACAGCACAAACATGACAATAACAAGAAGAGACCACTACAGCGAAAAAATCATCTTATATTTTATTTGACTAAACGAGCTTAGTTCAATCCTCCTTCAGGACAGAGAACATTCCCTTAACAAGTATCTAGGGAAGATAAATGACCTGGTTTGGTCCTGGGAACGTATGAACTGCAGTAAATCATGTCACTTATGAAAATTAGCACTGAAATAAAATTTGATTAAATCTGAGGGTGTAGGATAAGC